TCCCCGACAGTTCATGCAGTAAAATATGAATAAACCCTTACTTTGAAACTTGACATAAAAACTGTCACTAAGTAGGGTCATCATTTGAATAATGTTTGCGCTAAAATATGTTAAGTCAATTTATGGACGGGATGTCCTCAGCGACAAGTTAAGTCCCATCGTGGGTTTTTAAGAGATTTGTTTCCACCTTGATTGAAAAGCAGGTATGACTAGAAACAGGACAGTGTTATGCCTGAATGTAAGGAAATAGGTCCTCGTTTGTCTGTCGTGTTCAATCTACGATTCCAATGACCTTTCTTTTAGCTAATCGTAATTGAGTATAAAAATCCTCATTTTAAATGAGATTCTTAAAATAAAACAAAACATAAATATCAAGAAGACCAGAGAGAATAAAATAGGTTTGTTCTTGATTTAACAGATCAAGGTTAGATCTCACTTTGTTCTGAATCTAATTAACTGATATTTCTTAGTTGTATCTGATCATATTCTTAAAATTTTCATACTTATATTGTCCTATAAATAAATTCAATTATTCCAAGACCACTAAATATATATATATATATAAAAAAAAAAGTCTAAAAGATAACTGGAAAGGTTGTAAGATCTGGACCAAATTGTATGTCTACACAGTCAGATATGAACAAGGAGAGGGGAGACCCTACGAAAGTCCTACAAACAATGATACAAACTCGCCGAGTCTAAATCGGACACTACCGCCTTTTGAAGGCAAAGATTTGATTAAAGAGTATTTCTATACAGGGACGGGAGAGAGTTGCTGCATGTTGTCGAGTTTTAATAGCTTAGTGAAAGTAAGCTAAGGGGACGATTAGGGAATAAACAGCACTTAGAAAACATACTTTCTCTTATAAAAAGGTGTACAGCAATATCTATTCACATAATGCTGGTCATTTAGTTAAATTCAAAACAGATTTGGTTTGTTTGTATTGTTCACATTTTTTTATCTTTATCATGAAAAGACACAATATTGACCAAATCTTCAACATCCACTGTGCATACGATATTACATATATGGCTGCCAATAGTAACTTCTGCACTTAGAGGTGCAGACAACTTTTTAAAATATTCCATAAGAAAAGAAATAGTAAGAACAGGAAAAAACCAATATTTCACTATAAATAATAGCACTTTGTACATGTATAATGTATGCAATTACATGGGTTATCTCCCCTAGGTCCGTTGTCCAGGCTATGGTTGACTAGAGCACGGCACCACACACCATCATCATGACAGGTGGGGACATTGCCATGGTTACAAGGAGACAGGTACTGTCTTAGTTGCCTTAGTGAAATGAATACTACAACTAGAGATGAAATGATGGATGGTAATATAGCAGAAATGAAGATGTTTTCACTTAACTTTATCTGGATATTTTAAGCATACATGTTGAATTGGTAAGATATCTTTTTATAAATGAATATGGGAAGTTCTTGTCCAAATTAATCTACTGAATAAAATGTTCAAATAAGAAATATATTTGTTGGTAAGTAAAGTGCAACAAACATTCATATAAATGTTCAACATGTGACATTAAAACCACCTAGTAACAAATTTATTGTAAGCATCTTGTATCTTAATCCATTGGAGGTTGAAAACATCTTGATTTTAATGTAAGTTAGCGAGATGACATAAAATAAAAGGAACAGATAAACATATGTTCAGTCACAGACATTCTGTTCCCACTGATGTCAAGGAAACACTACATAGGGGCAAGTAACTCTTATCTTGTACACTAAATGGGAATATCTTAACATTTCATAATATCCAATATTTCCTATAAGATTTATATTTTTCATATAAAGCATTTTACTCAAAGAAAGCACATTCCCTTTGAAGTATTTATAAATACTTATTAGGCAGGAAGTTTTAATGAATGTTAAGATTTCTGTATTTTCCAATAATAATAGCACATTTTTTTTTCAAATAGCTTTTCCTTAAACATTTCCGTCTTATAACTGAAACTGCATATAAAGTCTTTAACTAAGTTTTACGCTTAAAAGTCTGAAGTAGAACTTTCTTGTGATAAAACCCCCAACAGATACCAGAAATATGTCCCAACTTCTACCTTTTGAACACATATGGTTATAGATTAACAAAAAAAGAATGTCACAAATTATGTACACAGAACACAACCGGAGTAAACTGAATCAAAAAAAACATTTGTTAAAAAATTAAAAGTAACAAAATAGACATCAACAAGGATAAAAATGGTCACCTTCCACAACAAAACAACGGCAGTCAAAGACAAAGTGTTCTTAATTATGGGACTAGAGAACACCTTTCATGAACACCTTAGGAACACATTTATCGGAACACTGGGGAAATTTAAGGAACACATCTTTATGTCAGTTTTAGGTACGATGATTACAATCTATATATGATAGGAAGCGAAACATGGCTGAAGAATTGAAAATCTTCATGGGAAAATATTCGAAAAGGAACAGACCTCAAACCAAGGCCAAGGATGCAATTGGATTAAAAGGAAAAAAAGAGATCTTGATAAAAGATCTTTCAGAGTTTGAGTAAAAGAAAGGGAGATAAATGTTGATGATGAAACTCTCAAGCATCATAAAGTGAATTAATACTGTTTTGATAGACAAGGTCAGCAGCTTACATACTTGAGTGTGCGAGGCACTCAACCGCCTCAAACACTTGTGGAACATGTGTGCGAGGCACGCAACCGCCTCAAACACTGGTGGAACACACAAAACAGTGTACATCATCATCAACAATCATAAATGCATATCATTTCTGGCAGGCTTTTTTCTTTCATTTCAGTAAAATATTTATACATATGTAAATGTATCCTTAACTACATGTTTCCCTGGTAACAGAAATCACACACAGAAAAATATTAAAAAATTATTATTTCACTGATCCATGACAAATTTCAAGCAGAAAACGGAATATTTAAAAGTCAATGCACAGGTGGTTAACTACAATGTTATTTCACATATAAAATAACAATTGTCTATTAAGGTCGCCTTTCTTCTTAACATCACTGAATATTGGATTTCTGTGTCAGTGAAAACAGTTATTATATGGTGCTGCATGCTGCCTCTTACTGAATAACTGTAAGACTTACAAATAAGGTGACAAGGTCATCTAACAAATCCAAAGTCATTCCATCACCAGGGAAACCAAAAGGACACATAGCCCTTTACTCACGAAAATAGTGGTACTAAATTCTAAAAAGGTCAAATGACCTTCACAAATATGTAATATTATCTTAAAGAAAAACTGTTAAAACTGATACAGATGGTAACATCTTGTTAATACATCACTGGCTTGTATATCTTCAAAATAGTTGAAATCAGAATTTAAGAAGAAAAAACTCTTTGCTGAAAAATGTGAAAGGATAAATTCCTTATAGACATGGGATCTCATGTTAATTTGCGGTCTTCTTTTGCATAAAAACAGAAACTTACATATGTATAGCACCGTAAACAGGGAAAGGAATGTGTTTATGTTGTTAAGAAAAAACAAGGGGAAACAACTGTTTGTATAAAGCACCTAGATAATGGTCAGGATCCGCTTGCTGCCTATTCTTATGTTTGAAGATCAATGTTAAATAACCAAAAACATGTCACAAAATATACAGGTAACACAACGTCCAACACAGTAAAATATCTCCACACCCTTGAAATGGAATGATGATAATATTGTATATCATAAGTAATAATAATAAGGCAAACATCTTATATCCGTAAAATTCTTACATGAATTGGAGCAGAGAGTGCAAGACTGATCTTCACAACTGTAATCAAATAAATCCTATCTGTTATTGCAAAACCTGTGCCCTTGTTTAGCTGTTTCATAGTGACTCGGGAGGTGGGGTCAAGTTACTTTGGGAAACATTTGTGAATATAACATTATCATGATGAATAACTTTAATAAAAGGATATATATTTGCATACAATTATATTCCGAATAAATCCTTGGGATTTGTTTGATTCAACAAATTCAGTTTTGAACTCAAAAATAGGGTAAAAGTGAAATATCCTGCAAACTGTTAATGTGTTCATGCAGACAGAGGCACTTGCTGCAATTAATACATATAATTATTGACAATCACACTCAATCTGGTGATTGCAAGAAAAGTAACTATTGATTGATGATAATGATGTCTGTCAAGCATTAATGAACATTGCATGCTCATTATAGATGCTTGGAAAAAAGTATGGACTAATTTAAATCATTAAATTTGAATATGAGCATTTTATGCATAAAAGAAATGGATAATTAAGTAATAGAGGTTTATAAGCTGTCAAACAACACCTTTATATCTGGAAAGTAGATAAACAATCACCTGTATGGAGAACCAAACACCTGTATGGAGAACCAAACACCTGTATGGAGTACCAAACACCTGTATGGAGAACCAAACACCTGTATGGAGTACCAAACACCTGTATGGAGAACCAAACACCTGTACAGAGTAACAATCACAGGTAGAGAGTAACAATTACCTGTACAGTGTAACTATCACCTGTACAGTGTAACTATCACCTGTACAGTGTAACTTCCACATGTACAGTGTAACTTCCACATGTACAGTGAAACTTCCACATGTACAGTGTAACTATTACTTTCACAGGGAAGTCAACAGTACACATAAATTTGTCATCTGTATACCAGAAAAGGTAGATAAGACAGCATCATTATATTTGAAGAGACCAAATTTTGCAATAACAGATTTTTAATTATTTGATATTAAATTGTTTTGAAAATAAAATCTAGAAAATGGATACAGCAGTATAATTACTGATATCTATCAGCAGTGATAAGACATGGAACACTGTGAAACAGATGATGACAAAGATACCACTCTACAAAAAACAGGTAATGCAGTTCTGCATGGAATGTATCATTTAAACATCAGCAACACGTTATAACATTTGATTATTTCAAACTTCTTCAATACTTTTTTTTGTTTTTTCTTTTCTTCTCCTCTCTTTCCCTATCTCTCTCTCTCGCTCTTCTCTTTGTCTAACAAATACAAAAAATAACATATTTTTTGCATTTTTTTAACTGTTTTGTTGTAAAATCTACATATATTTTGACAAGAGCTCAATGAATTTGTGTTAGTTTACAAAATATACATAGATGACACTTAGTAACCAATACATAGACACAACACTGGAGATCTACACATGTGCCCGCGGAGGGGCCTAACACCTAACAAAGACTCACAAACATACCATTTATAAACAACATTAGCACTAGCAATCTTTTGGAAGCAAACAGATTTTGCACTTTGCAAAAACATTCTTAAATAACAACAATCATGACATGTAAACTCAAGGTTTGCCATTTTATTCTACAGTTTGGCATGTGAGACAAATTGTATTTTGATATGGTACAAAAAAAATTAACAGATTAAAATATTTGTTAATTCTATTCTTTAACAAAAAATGCTTGCACCATTGTCTAAAAACTGAGATCAAAAATGATATACATAAGATTCGATAAAATGGATTTGATCAAAGCAACACTTAAGTGTTGACTGTTTAGTGATAAGTTGATGTAAAACTCACTGGGAAGTAAATCATACAGCAATTTATCACCACAAACAAATGGAAGATAAGACATCGGGGAAGTCTTGGTGGGATGCTACTCAACAAAATGGAAGAGTTATCTTTCTTGAATTATTCAAAACAACAAATGTAACAATTTTCTATTAACACAAGTAAAGATTATTCACTATGGATATCTTCCTTACTCTTTTAACAAAAACTGTGTAAAAATTCTTCTAAAATTGGCCTTTGGCAATCTGTTCAAGGTATTGGTCTCAGTACACAACCAGAGCGAGCCCATGTCAAGTATGTCTTTTTGGCATTCTTAGGTGGGTGGGTTTTAATTACCAAGAAAGGACAAACAAGCAACACATTCAATGTAATCTTTCTAGTCGTATCATGTTTTAGAGGTTTTGGAAAAAAAGGTTTGAAATATTCTTACTCTAATGAACATTTTGATTCAATCAGCTCTTTGTTCAAGAAACAACTGTATGACACAATTTTGGTAGGTTGGTATATTTGTTATGAATTGTAGATAAACCATGCATTAAACTTGACACGGCCTCGTAGCTTTGCATCAGAGAAAACAAGTGTACTAAAGCTTTCTAAAAGCCTTTAAAAAGGCAAGAAATTCCAAGTGCAAAATCTGTTTTGTTCACAATCGACCAATAGCCATGGCCTAAATGTTCAGACTTGCTGAAAGGTATTATTACTCAAAACATGGTCAGAAAGTTCATCATCATAGAGATTCAACTGAAAAAAGTGTTTGCAGCGCACAGCCGCCAACGAACACAGTGTAATACACATAGGAAGGACCTCATACACACCGCCAAGAACCACAGTATAATATACACAGGGTGGGCCTTCTACACATTTAAAGACATGCATAAACTACACTTATCACAACCAGGTTATGTGATGGAATTTTTCTCAAAATCAAAAAATCCATGCCTTGTACAGAAGATAACAATTGGCTGCTAACCTCTGTGACATCAGAAACACTGCCATCAGAGAAAGTCCCGGCTCTCAAACATTACACACTATCCACAGTGTTTCCTCCATGGTAGTGCTACGACACAAGTGTTTTATACCATGGTCTGCATCAAACTAGTCCAAGCATTGGTCCCTAGCAATTGTCATCATTATATGCCAACAAAAATAGAATCAACATCTGTGGTACCACGCACCAGCGATATATCGTATAATATATAAATGTTAATTTCACACAAAAAATGTGAAAAGTAGAATTATAATGAATAGGAATGGTAGAGCGGTCTTTGACCAGATGCGAGTTAACAACAAACACAGAATGTCACTGCCGCAGTTCCTGCAGGCTGTTATGAGAAATGCTGGTGTCAGGTGGTTTGACAAAACATGATACTAGTAAAAAGTTGATTTGTGAACTATTCAAAGTCTTTGGAAAAAGGCATATATTTGTTTTTGAACACTTTGTGCTCTTTGGGACAACATTGGCATTGTTTCATTGACCTGTTGTGAAATGAGCTTTTAAAAAAAGACAAATGATGAAACAAAAATAGCCATTTAAGGATTATGAAATCTAAATAACAAATTATGACACACTAAGAAAGTGCAATTTTGGCGATAATGTTTGTGACGTAAGAATAAAATGCATATAAGATTTAAAGAAAGGCTAGAAAATGCGTGTGTTGATTTTAATTCCCATAGAGAAAGTGTCAGTAAAACAACGCCAGAGTTGACCCATTGCATTCTTGTTTTCTTGATTTGTAATGAAGAGATGATAAGCTTTCAGGTATGTTGATATGTTTGACATATTAAGATGATTCTGCTAATCATCATTATCATCATCATCATTATCATCATCAATAGATAATCACCTATCATATTAAATGGTGGAGTAACAGTTTCGGCTTCAGAACACCCTTGCTCATGATCTATATGACCCCTTGTGTGACCTTGACATTTTTGTGACTTTGAGTAATCATCATATGATTGTTTTATGTTATTGTCTGTCCACAGGGTGGCCACATGTAAACAGGTGTATGGAGAAGTCCGATGGCACATCCACACAGAGACAGACTGATAGAACATCCTCCCAAAATGGGTGACAAGATCTTGAAAATAATGGTCCAATGACTACTAAATATTTGTGACCTTGACCTCACTCACTCATTTCCTCATCCTGCATATTGCTTTCAATGACATCATGGAGGAGTTCATCAACAGAATCACCATCTGCGCTGATTCCCTTCTCCTCGAAATTCAGATTTGGGACCAGAATACTGAGCATACGGACCACATTGAGTCTTAGTGTACGGAGTTTTGACTCGTGCACACAGTTTGCACATTCTCCTGTGCCCTTCTCTGTGCACTTATGATCCTTTTCCGGGCGTTCCCCGAGTCCCGACATCTCTAGAGCTTTGAGAGCCTCAAGATGACCGTTGTCACGGAGAGTGTGACTTGGCATGGCTTTCTTGCTGAGATCAATAGCACCATGGTTGTTCATCCCACTCTCCTCCATCTGGTTGTTGCGAATCTCCTGCAGTGGCATCTGAGACTTGGTGGCAGCATTTGTGACCAATGGCAGTGGTTGTTCTTCCACTACGGGGGCGGGCTGCTGATGCACCTTATACTGGGGTGGGAAGTTGTTCTGAACAAAGTTGGGAGATGGAAACCCATTGGCATAGTAGTTGGGACTAGCTTTCTGCTGCATATTGTGGTGATGGGATTGTTGGTTGCGCTCCCCTCCTATGTGGGTGGGACGATTCTCCTGTTGGAGGTGGTTTCCCAGTTGCTGCTGTTGCTGGGGAGACATCATCATCTTCTGCATGGGTGAGGCCATTGGCTGGCCTTGACCCTGATGGTTAGGAGAGGTCATGACCTGTGGATGCATTGAGGTCATGACATGTGGGTGTGGTGGCATCGGAATATTGTGTTGTGGCATCAGGAGCGATTGCTGTTGGTTTCCATGGTTATTATGAACATTGTGGGGCATCATAGATTGCTGTGGGGAAATCTTGTACATGTCAGGTATGACCTGAGTCAGGTAGCCCATGCCTCTCGGGGAACGATTGCGCTTCTCCTTGATGTAGTAGGACATGATACCATCATGTTTGTTGATGATGTGGCTCTTTAGACTGTGGCTTTGGCTGTACTGGACTCCACAGGCACCGCAGATATATGGCCGCTCACCTGTAACACACAACACACAATTACATAAGTGACACATACACTCCCCTGTAACACATATACTATAGTGACACATACACTCCCCTGTAACACATATACTATAGTAACACATACACTCCCCTGTAACACATATAATATGGTGACACATACACTCCCCTGTAACACATATAATGTGGTGACACATACACTCCCCTGTAACACATATACTATAGTGACACATACACTCCCCTGTAACACATATA